AAATATTTATATTCATTATATTTATAAAAAGTCCTACTTATAATTCTGCTGATAGCATTTAAAATAATTTAAACTATAATACATTTTCATTTCAATGCTATTAACATGCAATTAAGTGTCTGAAAACATTACATTCAGTTCGCACTTAAGTAAATTAATTTAAAGTATGTTATTTTTGTAATAAGTGCTCTATTTAGAAGTATGATAAAGTGTACTTCTTTTTCAAAAGGGATAGATGTGACAGGAGCTGAAATATTTGACATTGCACAAACAAGTTTAGCAATGATTGTATCTAATCATACATAACAAATGTTTAACTCTCGTGGTTATATTTTTAGAAATTTTAATGTTTATTTCTTTTGCAATACCTTGCCTTTTAGATTTCCATAAGTGAATTACTGCATACATTTTATTTTGTACAAATCAAGAGGATTCATCGAAATCTTCTCAGCTTACCTTGAACATAGAACATACGTTTAGGAAGTTTGCATCTTAAAATAGTAATGTGTTTGGTCATAAATGCCTTACATTTAGTTTTTCAGCAAGCTCCTGATGCCTTTATGACCATAGAATGTTACCATTTTTTAAACAATATATGAATGGCTGCATGCCCTCAGATCCATGAGAACGAAGAGTACCATAAACGTCTGAACGAGGACAGCCTGATGCACACGCCCGAGTTTGTGACCGCGCCTCGATCCCACACTGTTTGGGAGAAACAGTGTGTGAGGCTGCACTGTACCATCTCAGGATGGCCTGAACCACGCGTCGTGTGGTGAGTTAGCATGCACAAACAAGCATGCACATATTTACACACACACACATACATACAGACATGTGTGCACACTACTAATGATGATTGCATAATCTCAAGAATAATATGTGACAAACAGTGTTATTTTAGTATTGTAGTATTTAGTTTGTATTAATGTCTTATTTATTTTTATATTTTCTGTTTTCATTTTATTTTTAGTTAGGTGGCGGGAGAAACGATGATCTGCGATATTTTGAATTCGACTGCAGTACCTATTTCGACCATTCTTACATACTGCACCTTTAATGAAACTTAGCAAACTAGCAGCTCATAGGCTATAATGAAAAGATGTATCTTGAAATCTGTCATGGAAACTAGCATGTATAAACCTTAATTAAACAATTGAATAATCAGTTAATTTAAATGTATAATAAATTTATAGCCACATTGGACCAGCTGTTTGGAAAATAGATGGATGAATGATTCAGCTGCGTGCGCTATCTTCTGGAGAGACACGGGAATTTATTCAGCACGAGCCTCACGGTGCATTATGGGTATTCTCTAGCCGTTGAGCGAGATCTACTGACAATGCGCAAATTAAAGAAAATAGGCAGCAGCTCATTTCCAGTACCATTATGACCAACGCAATCTACTAAAATAAATAATTCTCATGTTTTGGGCAGCTTGGATCACGTACCTTTCCCGCAGCAGCTCACTCTGTTTTCCCAATTCACAGAAATGTGAATTGGGATTGAGCCTTTGATTTGGGACAGCCCTTGTTGTGCTGTGGTGGCGCAATTTTGGTGCTTTTCCACTGCATGGTACGGTACGGCACGGTTCGGTACGGAACGCTTTGGCGCTTTTCCACTGCATAGTACGGTACGGCTCGGTACGGCTCACTTGTGGCGCTTTTCCACTGCATGGTACGGTACGGTACGGCTCGCTTTAAATGGTACCACCTCTGTTGAGGTTCCAAGCGTACCGTACCGATACTAAAAAGTGACACGAAAACACTGCAGATCACTAATTGGTCAGACAGAATCGTCACTACCAGCGTCATTGTATTTGCGAGACATCAAACCTGCTAGATTTAAATAGCCAGCAACAGCCACCGCTGTAGCACCTGTTTTAAAACTACTTGCTTGACTTGCTTGAAGAAAAAAGAAAGAAAAAAAAGTTCCAAAAAATAAATGGCTGAATCGTGGTCATGCAGTGGACGAAGTGCAGTTGGTTGCCATTTATCCGAGGAGCGGATAAACTATAACGATCAGACTATTATCCCACCCACTTTAAAGCGGTACAAACTGCAGTGGAAAAGCAAACCGAGCTAAAGCGAGCCGCGCCGTGCCGTGCCGTGCTGAGCCGAGTCGTACCACGCAGTGGAAAAGCGAAGCGAGCCGAACCGTGCCGCGCCGCGCCGTACTGAGCCGTACCATGCAGTGGAAAAGCGCCATTGGACTTCGAATGTAGCATTTTATCTGCAATTTATTTCCATATCAACAGATCAATGAGGGTGAGCTTGGCCTTCAGCCTCCACTTTTCAGTAAAAAAACTGCATTATCCCTGCATTATTTTAATCCATCCTTTTCCTCCCTCAGGTACAAGAACAATGTTAGTATTGATCCTATGTCCAAGCCAGGAAAGTACAAATTGGAGAGCAGCTATAATGTCCACTCCCTGGAGATTAACAGGTGATCACACATGGACTTCAAAGTGCACAGTCAAAGTGATTTGCAATGGTTGTGTGAGTAACACATCTGTCTCTAATTCAAGGTGTGATTTTGATGACACTGCACAATATCGAGTGTCAGCCATGAACAGCAAGGGCGAGAACTCTGCTTTTGCTTCTGTTGTCGTCAAAAGTAGGTCTGAAATATATCATCCTAAACTCTTCTTTATACCGTCCTAGAACAATGATTGCAACTACATCTAGTACTTACCTAAAATATCAATCCAGAAAATTACTAACCCTAACTACTCAATACAAGAATTGTATTTTTTGTAATATACATTTAATAAATAGGTCCATTTTGCTCACAAATCAGAATCCTGTTATTCTCTTGTTCATTATAGCAAAGCATACTCCGTTTCATTCAAATGAAAAATTGTATGTTGCCACACTCTAAAAACAAATGTTTTGCCTAAAAAATTCATAAATAAAATAAAATGCAACAGATTGCATCAATCTTTTTGAGTTATGATAACTTCTAATAAAATTATGTTCAACCAACAAACTGCATTAAGTTAGAGGGACGTAATTATTTGTAGCATAAACACACATTTTTAAGTTGGTTTACTCATAAAAATTAAGTTGTTCCAACTAGCATAATTAACTTAAATGGAGCGGTGGCCGTGAAACCAGTTGATCTTCTCTATTTAAGTTAAAATTAACAGCTAGCATGTAGATCATTCCAAATTTAGCATGTAAATTTAAAGAACGTGCAAGATATTGTCATTGGCACTAGCGTGGTCATTGCTCATAGAGCAATATACAATATAGTCTACTTTGTATTGCCACCCCCACAATCGAGCTCTATACTCTTCAGCAAAAAGTTAGCATGAGATTTATGAGAAACAAATTAGCATGAGAAGAACGCAATTCCATGATTACAGCACCGATAGGAGATACGGACAATGCGCAAATTAAGAAAAAGGTTAAATGAACTCAATAACTGGGGCATGTTGCATAAACTGCTGAGACTAGACTTACAAGTTAGACGCATTTTTTTCTTTAAAACGGTTCATAACTTTTTATGTCAGTTACACAAAAATGCAGATTGGTCTAATTTTATACCGAAAAGTACGTCTGATTACCCCTAACTAACTGCTTGTTGGTCATATTAGTTCTCTAGACACAGTCTTAACATAATGGCAATGTTTATGCACTGTTACTGGCCCCAGATTATATCAAACTGAACTTAACTTGAATGAGTTCAATCCAATAAAGTCATCAAGACAATTTCATTAAGTTACTACAACTTAATTAAAAAAAAAATAGACATTTCAGTTTAAATTACATCATTAAGAACAGAACTCATCAAATAATAATGTTTGCAACTTTTAGAGTAGAGTTACAAAATAACCTACTGTACTTTCTGTTTACATTACTACATGCATTTAATATGTAATTATTTGGTGGAGCTCCTTGTAATTTCATCTGAAACAGACGAATAAGGAAGTAATTTGAATGCTGCTGACAATTTCCTTTAGAAGGAATAGTTGGCAAATGGATCATTCCCAGTTATTTGATAAAACAGAAAAAAAAAAATCTTCTCTTTTGTGTGATTTGATGTTTAGGATTCAAAGGAGAATTTGATGAGTCTCTGCCATCTCCCAGACTCCGTAAGTAATTCAGAATAAAATCGTATACAAGCTGATTTCTTTTATTTCACAGTTAATGTAAATGTGCTTTGCTTAAGTGTGTGAAGCTTTGAGCATGAGACTAAAGTTTTTAATGCCTGCTGGCTAATGGCTATTTTGTCTCCAATTCGCTGGGTGCAGAAAGCAGAAAGGTCGGCTTTAAAGGTAACCTTGGTGAAGGTTTTTTTTTTTGTAATGTTCTTGTGATGTTTTAGTTTCGTCTGGTTTCCCTGATCATCTTAAGTGCATGATCGTCCCTTCTCATTGTTTTACTTCTCTATCTTTGTTTATTTGATGAACATATTTACCGATTGTGTTGATAGCTTTCAGGATTGGTTTGACGAGTTAGACACAATGCGCTGTTTTGAGAACTGAATTGATATTATCCACATATTAAAGGGGTAATAAATTGAAACAACAACAAAAAACAAAAGCATGTTTACTGTAATGCACATGTAAATCTAGATCTAATCGTACTTCAACTTTCATTATAAGTGCATTACTGTAAAGATGTTTTTGTTTGGTGTATTATTACAATATTCCATATTGGCAATAAAGAAATCTGTTTGTAGAGTTCTTCTCTAAAAGTTTTGACTGTATGTCAGAGAACATACAATATCTTATATGAACATCTTGTGTTTATTCTTTCACTTTCCATTTTCTGTGTGTTTGTAAATGTTTTCATGCATTCAGCATTGTTAATGCAAATATCCTTCATTAACATTCACTCTTCTCTTGTTGTGTCTTGTGTATTTTATGAATTTGGTGTCAAGCCAATATTTCACTAAATGATGCCTGCTGTCAGTCTTCTTTCGACTCTTGATGTGAAATTATATTCATGTGAAAACCCTTCAGAGTAATAAATCATTGTACACCTTGTACAATATGAATTGAATGTGTGTTTTGTTAAACAAATGTGTGAATATGATGAATCCTGGAGCCAATCTTATCCAGCAACATTGAATTTTCATAAAATAATACTGGATTTAATATGTGTGTGTACTGCAGCACCATGTCTGGAGTATGGTGTGACCTTCGAGACGCACATTGTGGAGAAGTTTGGTGTGTCTTTTGGACGTGAGGGTGAGACGTTGAGTTTGGGCTGCTCTGTTATCATCTACCCTTCACTTCAACGCTTCCAGCCTGAGATAGAGTGGTACAGAGATGGTAAGTCTGTGAGAAAAATAATAATAAGCCCTGATAAGATCTTTTGCAAAATTTATGTAATCAGATAATATTGTTAATATTGGGTGATCCGGATATCAATTTATCATTACATATCTAATCTTTACTTCTTGAAAATTGGTGCATTACACATACCAGTCATAAGTTTGGAATAATTCGGATTTTTTTTATGTTTGTGAAAGATGTCTCTTATTTTCACCAAAGCTTTAAAACAGCAAAAATTAAAACTGAAATATTGTAAAATATTATTACAATTTAAATGAAATGTTTTCTATTTGAATATATTTTAAAATATAATTTATTCCTGTGATGCAAAGCTGAATTTTCAGCATCATTACTCCAGTCTTCAGTGTCACATGATCCTTCAGAAATAATTCTAATATGCTGATTCGATACTCAATTATAAATTATTATTGGTGCTCAATTATTAATAATGATTCTTCTTATTATCAATGCTGATAACAGTTTTTGCTGCTTAATAATTTTGTAGAAATCGTAATAACATTTAATGGAAAAAAAACAGCATTTATTTGAAATAAGAATTTTAACATTATAAATGTCTTTACTGTCACTTTTGATCAATTTAATGTGTCCTTGGTGAATAATAGGATTGTCTTTTTTAATCTGCCTCACCCCAAACTTTTGACTGGTAGTGAATAAAAAAAATATTAAGCAGCCCAACTTTTTTCAACATTGATAATAATAAGAGTTGTTTCCTTGAGCAGCAAATCAGCGTATTAGAATGATTTCTGTAGGATCATGTGACACTGAAGACTGGAGTCTGAAAATGGTGCTGAAAATTCAGCTTTGACCACAGGCATAAATTAAATTTAAAAAATATTTTGTAACAATATTTCACAATATTAACCTTGGTGAGGTTAGATAAGAGACTTAATTAATTACAAACTTTTGATCGGTATAGTTCAATTTCTTTTAAATACCTAAATGTATTTTCCGCTTACCCTGCAGTTTACTATTGCTACCTTGTGATTCATAATGCATGGATGTGTTTGTGTGTCAGATAAACTGCTGGTGCCATCAAAATGGGTTCAGACGCACTGGAGCGGCGACAGAGCTACACTCACTCTCACACACCTCAACAAGGAGGATGAGGGGCTGTACACACTTCGTGTCATAACCAAATCTGGCTTTGAGACACATTCTGCATATGTCTTTGTCAGAGGTGAGGACTACTAAAGTGAACTATTTCTAACTCAGCCTGCTACATTATTACAAGCCACTTTATTCATGCTGGTAATACAGTAACTATGTGTTAAATGAAGAGTATTTTAGTAACACTAAAAACTCTGTTACTACAAATGGAATTTGTAAATATTAAAAAGTGCAATTTTTGCGGGGGTTCATTTAGACACACACACTCACGTGGACAAACATAATTATGAACTTGGGAAAAACAGGTATCAAAACAAGTGCACATTCCACCCTTGAATTATTTGAAACATTTACCGGTATTGTAGAAATCCACTAATCAATTTGATTTGATTCTTCTCAACGAGCAAAATTATCATTTTGTTTTTATAGATTTTGTTATTCTATATTGCAGATTTTATTTGGTCTGTTTCAAAATAGCGTCAATTATTACAGATTACTGTAATATCCCAATTCATTACGTGCTAATTGTTTTACAAGAAAAAGAGCATTAGACTAACTCTTTTGGCTTGTACTGTGTGTGAGTTTTGCATGTCTCTCTGAGCCTCCCTTCACAGCTCATGTTTCATTCTAAATTTATCCTTGTCGTCCCGTGTCTATGCTGTCATGACATTCAAATGATGTGAGACTGTCTGGACAAATGAAGTTCTCAACACTTCCCAACAGTAGTTGCAATACACTTATTAAAACTTGAATTGCATTTAGATTTTAATTAAAGAGCTTTTTTTGGTAACACTATATTTTAAGGTGACGTAGTTAAATTGTACTTACTTAAATAAGTAATATATTAATTAATTACTTTTAATTAACTGTACTTACCAAAGAGTTGCGGTTAGGGTTTGGTTTAAGGTTAGTTACCTGTATTTATGAATACTTCATTGTTATTCCTATAGTAAGTATAGTGTTGTAACGTGTAACTACGTAACTAAGTAGAACTTAAGTACAAATGTATATGCGATTTCATAATAACATTTCTATTGAAACTTGTATGTCATGTATATGAAATATATTTGTTAAACCTTTGTAACGAAGTTCCAATTTAGTACATTTAAAATATATTAACTTTAAATGTAATATTGAATAATACACTACAGTTAAATTATAATCAAGCGCTTTAGTTTGTTAGTCAACACTTTAAAATGAGTGTACTTCTTTAAAGCACGACAACATGAAGTTTTATGTAACAAAGTTCGGGAGGAGCACGTTCAGGTAATCAACCAATCAGCACAAGAGGAAGCCGGTATAAATATAGCCTTCCCTCACCTCTGTCCCATGACAGTTTCACAGCATCCCTCCACCACCCCATCACCTCACTCTCGGCTGGTTTCTATCCCAGTAAAGGGGGGAGTACTCTGGGCTCGGGCCAGATTTCGAGCTCGGAGCCCTCTCCTGGACAGCACGCCAAATACGTATAAATTACTGCATCTAATTTCATGTATGTGTGAACTCGTGAAATATTATTAAAACATAATGATTTAAAATATACTTTAAAGTATCACTTTTTAAAAAGTGTGGCCTTTTATTTCAATTACAGTTTTTGAAAATATACTTTTAAGACTTGAAGTAAACTACAAGTGCACATTCAATACAACTAAGTGCACTTCTTTTTCACAAGAAGATGGCATGTGACATTGTGAATTTGAACTAATAGTACATGTTTAAATGATTCACTTTAGTTTATTTGTGTGTTTGCTAGATGCTGATGGTGAGGTTGCTGGTGCTCCTGGTGCTCCTTTAGATGTATATTGTCAGGATGCCAATAAGGATTATGTCATCGTTACCTGGAAACAGCCCGCTGTGGACGGCGGAAGCACCATTTTGGGCTACTTTGTTGATAGGTCACTGCATCTGATTAAAAATATCACACACAATCATATAAAAACTTCTAAAGTAGACACAATGAAGATATTAGCCATAAAAATTCTCAACTCTGGGAATGAAGGTCAACATTCCCGCAGAGTTCAGTTCCAACCCTAATCAAACACGCCTGAACAACCTAATTAAGGCCTTCAGGATTACTAGAAAGTTACAGGAAGTTACCGTGTTTTACAGAAAGTTAACCCAGTTTTTAGTGTACCCTAAATGCTTTGATCAAGGTTGGAGCTAAACTCTGCAGGACAGTGGATATTGAGGGCCAAAGTTGAGAACCCCTGGTGTAAATAAACATCATATACGCCTGAACCAAACAGTGACGGGCCGTTTACACGACACCGTTTTCAACTAAACTTAGCCTTTCATTTAAACAACAACAGAGTTTTGGGGGACTGAAAATGCAAACTTTTGAAAAGGGGTTTGACAGTACATGTTTTTGAAAACAATACCATTATTGTCTCGATGTAAACTACAAAAAACGTGAATTTGTGAAATCGGTGACGTCATGCGCATGCATATTACGTGTTCAGTCTATAGGCGCATAGAGTTTCTTTACAAAGTGACATCGCCAACTACTGGCCTGGAAGCACAATGCTGCATTTTTTTTATCTTTTTCGTGGATCTGTGTAAATGTGGATACTTTTGACAACGTTTTCATCTGTAAGCGAAAAAAAACTAAAAATTCTTCCATTTTTAGTACATCGTTGTCGCGTAAACGTACTCTAAATCTCAAATCTGTGGAAAATCCAGCTAGAACCACCAAACGTGTTTTAGCTGGATTCTATAGCAGAATTTTCTAAAATTATTATGATTTTGAACTTGTTCAAATGTAATAGGAATGTCGTACAAGTTAGAGACTGTCTGTACACTGTATACAGTGTCCTCACAACTGTAGATATAATCTTAGATAAAATTACAACTGGTTTGTTCTGGTTCTTATAAAGAAAAATGCGGCTAATCTCACAATTCTGACATTTTTCTTGCAATTTCTCAATTCTCAAAAAAAAGAAGTCACAATTACTTTTTTAATTGGGAGTTTATATCTCACAACTCTGAGAACAAAGTCAGAACTGAATATTATAAACTCGCAATTGCAAGAAAAAAGCCAGAATTGTGAGATAAAATGTCGCAATTACTTTTATTTTTTATTCTGTAGTGGAAACAAGCTTCCATAGGATCTAGACCATTTCTTGACTGTTTTGTTATTTCTTGTTCACAAACAGCCCTGCTCTCTGATTTTTTTTTTTTGTAACATCAGATTGTATTTCTTCATGCATTCAATTTTATTTGCCTTTATGACTTTTCTCCTGTGTAGGTGTGAAGTTGGCACTACACACTGGGCACAATGTAACGACACTCCTGTTAAGTTTGCACGTTTCCCTGTAACTGGTCTTGTGGAAGGACGAAGCTATGTGTTCCGTGTGCGTGCTGTCAATAAGGCTGGTATGAGCCATCCATCCCGTGTCTCTGAACCAGTAGCCGCTATGGACCCTGCAGACCGCACAAGAAAAGGTAACCAGACTGGCACGGCAAATACACAAAACCAAAATGAAAACAAAACAAGCAGTACAATATACTTTCTTTCTCCAGGTGCCTCTGCTCCTTGGACTGGACAAATAATTGTAACTGAGGAGGAACCTGTGGGTGAGGAGCTTCAAATTAAAATGATCTTATTTTTTAGGGCTCCCATTATCATTAAAAACCTTTAAATTGTAGGTAAACCTATGGAAGTTGGTTTCCACCACAGTTGAGCTAATATGACTTAGTATATCAAATTTCAAGAAAATTCTCATAACAGCTCCCTATATCATTATAATGAAAACCTTTCCTATGATTATGGCTTGTATTAACTCATTATTATGACAAACTGTTATAATGTTTAGAAAAAAATCACATAATTATATCTCGAAATAATAAGAGGCTGACTCGTAATAAACCATGATATTGTGGCAGAAATAGTCAAATGTTTTTTTTACATTATTCATAAGGTTCGTACAGCCTTTTAGGAGTGAAATTTAAGCACTTTTCAAGGACTTTCAAGTGCTTCACACAACTTTTTTTATCCAATTCAAATGTTATTTTTAATGTGATGACCAAAAAAATTATTTGTTCATCCTCCGAAGACTGACTCCATTTGTAAAACTAAAAGTTTCAAGATGTAGGAAAACTAACACTTGGTGGCAAACATAAACACTTTTATTTAAATATAAAAAAAGACGTAGATGGCGGCAGAGGAGCACTTATTGACATTAGCTAATTCCACTCCTCATAGTCTGGAGCCCTGTTATTAAGTCTTAATATCTCAGAATTAAGAACCTTTATAAATAACGACTTTTCATAATAATAAGAAACTTTCTCATAATAATAAGTATCTCGTAAAAATGAAAAAGTACTTATTATGTTTGTCATTATTTCGATGTTAAGTCTTTATAATGACAAAGTTTGTCATTATTACAAAAAAGTCATTATCTCATTATATGTTTTGTTAGTATTATGTCTTAAAGAGTCATATTTTTACTCAGTTGTGGTGGAGAATGGCTTCCATTTGGAATCTCTATGAAATTATTTTTAAAAATCCTTATACAGCGATCACAAACAACTGGAAATGTGTGTTGGTCAAATACTCTACCTGTATTTTTGACATGTCCATTGGATTCTCTTTGACCATACCGCAGTTTATTACCTAAAACTGATCAATTACACTACAGTACCAATATAAGATTATATGTTATCCTTGGATTCATTTAGAGGGAGTGGTTCCTGGCAGACCATGTGACCTCACTGTCATTGAAGCCACTAAAAACTATGTGGTGTTGAGCTGGAAGCCCCCAGGCGATAAAGGCCATGAAGGGGTTATGTATTACGTGGAGAAGGTCAGTGTACAAAACTCAATCTAACTGCATAACCACTCATGGCTTTAGTGATTTTTAAGGGAATAGGCCTTGAGTCATACAGTATGTTGTATTTTTTGTTTGGTTTAGCAACAATATATCTCTGTGTGTGTGTGTGTGTGTGTGTGTGTAGTGCGTGTCTGGCACAGACAGCTGGCAACGAGTGAACACTGAAATCCCTGTGAAATCTCCACGTTTTGCTCTTTTTGATCTGGCTGAGGGCAAGTCTTACTGTTTCCGCGTTCGTTGCTGCAACTCAGCTGGTGTTGGAGAACCATCAGATCCGACAGAAGCCACCACGGTTGGGGACAAGCTGGGTATGATAAACACAGCAATTCTGTATTGGCATTTATGGTTCCATGAAAAACCTTTAACATGCATAGAACCTTTCCATTGCACAAACGGTCATTTAGAGTGGAAAAAGTTTCTTTTGATTATTACAAATTTCTTCACACTAAGAAAAAAAAAAAGTCTAAAATGGCCCTTCTATGACATTACTGCAAAAACCCGCTTTTGGAACTTTTATTTTTTATTTAGTATATTGACTCTTTAAAATACTAAAATGTTATGTTCATATTTTATTATGCGGCTCTCTGGAATTCTTGATTCTAGTTGGTGTATCGTTCAGCATTCAGCGCTCTGATATTTTCCTTTTTCGCTCATCTGGATAACTGAAACCAGCACAACATTCATGTCCTTTGTATCTTGTTTCATACTAATGCAACTAGTGTCATCTTGTGTTTTAATTACTAATGATTATGAAAAATCGGAGGACAATGTAATGGATAATTTTTTCTTAGTGGAATTTTTTTTTTAAGTGTGGAATTTTTTTTTTTAGGATATTACATGTATGATTTTAAAACAATTTCAACACAAATCAATATTTCATGTCCAAGTAATTATTTATTTGGTGAGTAGTCATGTAAAGCTGGATTAATGTACATTATTCCTATAACTCAACTCAATATTTTGTATCCAATTATGTATGTTAGCCTTACCAAGTAGCCTTTACATTATATCTGGATATTCTATTCACTCATTATTTACCATACATTTGTAATATTATATTATATTATATTATATTATATTATATACTCCAAATAAGGTCTTATTTGTTTGCATTAGTTAAATATGAACTAATATGAACTAACAATGAGAAAAATATTTTTGCAGCATTTAATAACCTTTGTTAATGTTAGTTAATAAATAAGTTCATGTTCATTTTCAAAGTGCATTAACTAAAGTTAACAGATACAACTTTGAATCTCAAAAATGTAGTAGTAAATTATGAGATTAACATGCACTAAGATTCAAAAATGCTGTAGAAGTATTGTTTGTTGTTAGTTCATATTAACTAATGTTGTTACAGTAATGCTAACAAATTAAACCTTATTGTAAAGTGTTATTATTTTACAGTATTATATTATATTATATAATTACAGCATGCAGATAAACTTTGGCTGAACTTGAATATAACATGAATTCTATTATAGCATAAATAATGTGTAATGGTGTAATGCACTTTTTTGTTACCTGCCACCAGATATCCCATCAGCCCCTGGCCGTGTGGTGCCTACCCGCAATACAGACACATCTGTGGTGGTTTCATGGGAAGGGTCACGTGAAGCTAAAGAGCTGGTGGGCTACTACATTGAGAACAGCATTGTGGGGAGCAA